GGGCACAGCTGCCCCTCTACCTCCCACCAGCCACTGTTCTCACAGTCCTATGGCCACATCTGATCTGAAAAGGAACAGCCTGTGCTCTCTTAGTCTGCTGTGGCAAAGATCAGAAATGCACTCACTTGCCCATTTTTTAGCCTTCTACTCAAGGTTACCAGAGTCTTTTGGAGGTTAGGCCCAATCCCACCCAAAGTCACCTCCTCCATTAATGTTTGATAAATGGTGTAAGCCCCAGTAGGACTGGTTACTTCCTGCCTCAGGGAAAAACTCCGGTGTGTCTATAGGAGCTCTGGTCCCACAGGTCAAGTTTCTTCAACTTCTTTGACCAGCAGAGCAGTCTGGGAAGGCCCCTAGTGCAACCCTCAGAGAACCACCATCCCTTATAGGAGCTGGGTGGCCAGGGGATGTCCCACAGGACCCTGGGTATCGCAGGGGGCACCCTTATGAGCAAACTGTTTGGGGAAAACACAGCCAGAGAGGATAGGGACAAATGGGTGGGATTCTGGGCTCACTACACCAGACCCAACTGGAACTATACCACCTTATTTTCCTAAACTTCTAAATTGAAATGTGACATGCATACAAACAAGGAGATGAATCATAAAAGTGTATAGCTCAATGAATTACCACAAAATGAACACATCTGTGTGAGCATTGCCCAAGTCAAGAAACAGAACATTACCAGCACCCCAGAAACTCCCCTAGATGCCCCCCATCACTATCTCATCCCTCTTAGTCAGTGGTCACCACTATCCTGACATCTGATGTCTAACACCATAGGTTAGTTTTTGTTGTTATTATTTTTAATTTATGAACTTAAGATCTTTTTAATATGGAGACCAGTAAATTTGTCTATTTAAAACATTGCACATAGGCCGGCCGAGTGGCACATTGGTTAGGAGTTGGCTTGGGACACCAGCTCTGAACGGCAGGGCCCCGGTTCGGATCCCACAAATGAGGGCCAGTGACACTGCTGCCTCTATAGCTAAGATGGTGAGCAACAGCTCAGCCTGGAGCTGGGCTGCAGTGAGTCACTGGCGATGGCGTGGGCTGCAGTGGGGCTGGCCAGCAGCTGGCATGCGCTTTTGCGGCTGCGGCGATCCAATGGCCAGCGAGCGACTGCCTCACCCGGGAAGAGCACAATGATAGTACCAAAATGGGCCAGTGAAGCGACGTCCTCCACAACTAGACTGAAGAACAAAAAGACAGCAACTTGTCTGTTCCCCTTCTCCGATTCCCCAACGCTGTTCCCCTCTCCTAATTCCCCAATTAAAAAAAAATTTTTTTTAATAAATAAATAAAACATTGCACATGCTAATCCCATGCACATATTCAGGTAAATAGGAGACCCATAATATCCATGAAAGACCAGTATTATATATGCAAATTTGATATGAACAATGGTTTTTTACTATGGAATTTCTTAGTAGAATATATCTGCCTTTTAAGAGTCCTGTTCTCAGGGCCAGCTGAGTGGTTCAGTTGGTTAAGAGCATGAGCTCTGAGCAACAGGGTTGCCAGTTCTATGCCCACCCACAACTAAGATTGAACGGCACCTTGAGCTGCGTGGCCATGAGCTGCCGACGGGTGGCCAGATGGCAACTGGACTTGGAGCTGAGCTAGCTGCGCCCTCCACAACTAAGATTGAAGGACAACAACTTGGCTGTTCCCCTTCCCCAACTCCCCAATAAAATCTTTTTTAAAAAAGTTAAAAAGAGTCCTGTTCTGTTGCTGAGGCTTATTTTATTTTTTTATTTACAATGCTCTATGACTTTTTTAAATAATAGCTTTATTGAGATATTATTCATTTACCATACAAGTCACCCATTAAAAGTTTATAACTCAATGGTTTTTAGTATGCTTACAGTTGTGCAACCATCATCACAATCAACTTTAGAACATTGTCATTACCCCAACAAGAAGCCCATATCCCTTAGCTGTTACTCCTTACTTCCCCCCAGCCCTAAAGAAGCAATTTCTGTCTCTATAGATTTGCCTATTCTGGACATTTCATATACATGGAATCCTACAGCATGTGGCACTTTGTCACTTAGCATAATGTTTTCAAGTTACATCACCATTGAAGCATATATCCCTTCTTTTTTATTGCCAAATGATATTCCATTGTATAGATATACCACATTTTATTTAACCATTCATCAGCTGATGGACATTTGGGTTGTTTCTATTTCTTTGGCTAACAACACCATACATTAGTTTTGCCTGGCTGTGAATGTATTACATATATAAATGTTTTCTTTTGTTTCTGGCTTCTATTGTTCAATATTAAATGTATGAGATTCATCCATGGTGTTGAATCTAACTATAGTTTGCTCATTTTTATTGTTGTATAGCATTCCTTTGTTTGAATATACCACAATTTATCCATTCTACTGGTTATGGACATTTAGGACTATTACTAACAATACTACAATGAATATTTCTGTAATGTCTTTGCTATACATGCGCACAGATTTCTGGTAGGTATGTGGTAGGAATAAAATTCCTCCATTATAGGGTGTATCATTCACAAGCCGTACGGTATGTAATTGTTCAAATTTAGTATTAACATCAGACAGTTTTCTAAAGTGGTTGTGTCAATTTACATTTCCAACAGTAGTGTATGAGTGTTTCAATTGCTCACATCTTTCCCAACACTTGGTTTTGTCTGTCCTTTAACTTTATCCATTCTGGTGGGTCTTTAGTGGTATCTCATTGTGGTTTTTATTTGTTTCCCCAAGGTGAGCACCTTTTCATGTGTTCATTGGCCACTTGCATAGCCTTTGTGGGAGAGGGCATGAAAAGCGTTAGTTCTTGTCTCTGGCCTTTAACAAGTCTCACTAGGCTGCCTGTGTTCCTTTTCTTTTTTACTTGTAAGAGTTCTTTAAATATTCTGAGTATGAGTTCTTTCAGAATTATGTGTTACAACTATCTTCTTCCATTCCAAGATTTGCCTTTGCACTCACTAAATAATGTTTTTTGATAAACGGAAGTTCATAATTTTAATGTAGTTCAATTTATCAATCTTTTCCTTTGTGGTTATCCCTTTCTATGCCTTTTTAAGAATTCTTTGTCTACCATCAAGGTCATGAGGGTAGTCTCCTATATAATCTTCTCAAAGCTTTATTGTTATATCTTTCACATTAAGCATATAATCTACTTGGAATTGATTTGTATGTTCTCAGATAGGGGTCACGATTAATATTTTTACACTGGGATATCTGATTGACCCATTTCCATTATAGGAAAAACTACCTTTACCTCACTTCTTTACACAGACGTGTTTGTCATGAATAAAATACCAGATATGTGACAGTCTATTTCTGGAGTCTCAATTCTGAAACTTTTGTCTATTTATCTTGTTCCAATCCCATGCTGTACCTGTATCATCATCATCATCATCATCATCATCATCATCATCACCATCACCATCTTTCCCATTTCACAAATGAGGAAACTGAGGCACATTAGGGCTAAGTAACTTGCCCAAGTAAGTAATCTGCTAGTTAATGGCAGAGCTGAAAATGGAACCCAAGGAGTCTCCCCTTTCAGTCCACGCTCTCAAGAAGTTTTACAGTTTCTCGCGTGAAGTCTTGGAAACAGGAATGCCACAGCTACACACTGCAGAAGTCAGCAAAACTAAAGGGCAGAGGGCGGGGCCCTGATGCTCCTGCTCAGTCGGAAACTGATCCTCCGCTTCTTTCCCAATCTCACCACCAGAGGGCGCGAATAACTTAAACTCGCCAGGGACGTCCCTCCCTCCCAGCCCTGGTTACCTTTCAACCAATCATCAAATATTTACCCAAAACGCAGTTCAAAGGGAATGTAAAAAATTGCCCAATCTAGTCTTTATGCAGGACTGTAACAAAAAGGCAAACAGGATCGATGTCTGCCTTCTTAAACATCTTCAGCAAGGAAAGAAACCTCCCACGATCTGATTAATTTGTCTTATTTCTAAACCACTTTACACCTAAATCCCTCCTTAAATCTCTTACTCTTCCCAGCACACACTAGATTCTTTTATTCTATCCTTAGTGGAAACAAGGAGCAACTGTTTGGTATCCTCATGGCACCAGTCTTCAGAGATGCTTGTAAATAACAAGGTATATAGCTATGACGTCAAACCTCAGTTTTCATTTTTCTTAAAGATATAATAGTACATGATTACATTTCACCTCCTTAGCATTTTACAGGTTTCTTTGGTCTCGCTCCAATTTCTCCATGTCCCTTTCGAAGTGTAAAGTCCAAAAGTGGACGTTGCACTCCAGTATTGTATCTAGTGCCAGATTTACTTCCTGATTCTTGAATGTTACCTTGTTAATATATCCAAGCAATACACAATCATTCAATAAAATAGTTCATCTTTATCAACTTGATGAAGAGTTATATAGTCATTAAAACAGCAAACACAAAGACAATGACGTAGCATGCTACCTGTCTGTAAAATGAGAATAACAGCTCTTTCACTGGGGTTTATTGAATGAATGAATGCAACTGGGCTGAGTTGAGAGTAATAAATGAGACAGTATATATAAGGAATTATTACCTTGTTTGGCATATAAAATGCACTCAATAAATGGTAACTGTAATAGAATGTTGTAAATGATGTAATAGATTGAGGTATATGATGATGACGATGTTAATGACTTGGTGATGTTGGACGGTCGGTTGTCAAAGTTCCGTATGTCACTAAGTGGAGTCACAGTAACCCCCGCCAGCCCAGGCAGCTTCTTCCGGCTGCAGTCCTTGAACAGGACAAATGTAAGAGATCCGCTGTCACCCGAGACTCCGTCGGTGCCCAGATCTCCGCGGGAAGCTCCGGCTTGCGTCATCCGCCCTGCCCCGGGACGCTCCCAAGCCCGCCGACACATGGTGGGAACGTGAGGGGGCGGGGCCGGACGCTGAGCCGCCGGGCCAATCGCCCGGCGGCAGGCTCCCAGCCAATGGCAAAGACGCTCCAGGGCGTGAGGGGCAGGGCCACAGGGAGGAGCGGCGTCGTCATAGGTCATTGGGCGGGATGGGGGCGTGGCCCATGGCGCTGACAGGGGCGGAGTGGCAGTGGCCGGAGCAGTCTGGACGGTGATGGCGGCAGCTGTGGTTACCGCGGCACCAGTGACCCCGGCGCCTGAGGCCGGCATGGATGGCGCCTCCTCAGTGCACTGGTTCCGCAAGGGGCTTCGGCTCCACGACAACCCTGCGCTGCTGGCGGCAGTGCGCGGGGCGCGCTGTGTGCGCTGCGTTTACATCCTCGACCCTTGGTTCGCGGCCTCCTCCTCGGTCGGGATCAACCGATGGAGGTGAGGGGGCCCGGGGCTGGGTCGCGGGCATGGGGTGGGCAGCCTGGCCTCTTGGGCGCCTGGCGAAGAGCCTGAGTCTCTCCCCACCCAAAGGAGGGAGGTCTTGCTCCCCACCCCTCACGGCCGGAAGACCCGGTCCTGAGAGAGGTGGAGCAGGAAGATGGAGCCCGGTCTCCAGAGGGGAAAGGCCGGGACCAGGGAAGCAATTAGTCATCGTACCAATGGCCCGTATGGGCCAAGCCTCAATCTCTGACAAAGTGGTTCCGCACTGTGTGTTATACCCCTTTGGGCCACAGACATTACTGTGGGACAGAAATCATTATCTCAATTGTATAGATGAGACTTTAAGCCCTGGAGACACAAAGTTGACCTGCACAAGGTCTTGGCAGCCAGTGAGTGACAGAACAGGGACTCCTGGTCTAGGGCTCTTAGAGGAGTGCTCAAGGACTGGAGGAAAGGAGATATTGTGGTGTGAGGGCAGGGTTGGATTTCGGAGCATAGCACAGAAATGCTTGCATTCTTCAAGGAAAGAGCCCATCGCTGGGCTCCTGAAGGTCATCTCAAAGCCTCTGGTTTGTTTGAATTTGTCTTTTCACCCATCCTGGTTTCCCTACCCCAAGACTGCCCTGCTTCTGGAGGTGTCTGGAGACTCTGGCTTAGCATTAGACAAGGCCAAGTGCAGTCTTCCCTTTCTTATAAAGACCCTAATGGCACATTCAGTTAAATGTACTGTGTGTGTCCTGAGCTGGAGAGCAATACTTAACCCATTTTGGAGAATTCCCTCAGCAGCTAATGAGCTTGCTAGGGAAAAAAAAAAAAAAAAAAAAGGAAGCAAACTGTCATTTCCTTCCACCTCTTCTCATGTGAATGATTTTAAAGGACAGTTGAGCCCCTATAGATTAGATTTTTATCGACTTAAGTGGTAAGATTAGGGAGCAGCGAAGCTGTGATATCAAGGGCCCCTCTTTGATGACTCGCAGGAGATGGAGTCTGCAGGATCATGGGAAAGGATTAACAGATAGGTAGTTGATGTATTTTCTCTGTAACTAGTGTTCAAAACCAAGGAGTTTTGAGATATTGTGTACCCATCTCTCTTTAAGACGTCACTCAGCAGTCATTTGGTTTGTTTGCATTATTCTGGGGGATTTTTGCTTGTGGCCTTGTTGAACTGATGGGCAGCATTTTTCTCAGGATACAGTGGCTCTCAACACACCATTCTTTTCTCTCCAGAGTGTGTGCCCTTCCAGGATAGTGAGTGCTTCTCACAGTGGGTCTATGAAATGCCCTCTCCTGCCCCATTTATATAGCGGGAATGACTAAAGATAGTCCTGTGGAGAGCCTGCCCACACAGTTTTCAGGCTGCTCTATTGCTCTGCCTCTGCTCCACTTTCCATAGATAGGAGCTTGGGTTTGACAAACATTCTCAAATGACCATACCTAGCATGGCCATTAAACCAAGCCTCAGACTTTGCCCCTCTCCTTATGGCAGTGTGCCAATCAGAGCAGAGTCAATAGAATAGGGCTACCTGCTTGTTACATTGTCACGAAGGAGTTTCTTCTTTTACTGGGTTATGGGGGACATTGCATAGGACTGCCTACTCCTTTGTGATAGTGGAGATTAAAAATCAACAACAAAAACTGTTGTTGATTAAACTCAGATTTGCTAGGAATAAGGCGTTTATGAATTTTTGTGGGTCACCCTTTTGTGATTGTGCCTTCCAGCGAGTGAAGGAGAACAGGAATGTGGCAACTGCTGCCTGAGTCAAATCCTGAAGTCAGAGGCCATGTAGGAATGCAGATATTAATTAAGCAATTATTTAATGACTGTCTAATATCTACCAGGCACTGCACTAGGTGTTGCTAGGGATATAGCAGTGGACAAGCAGAGGTGGTGTCCAGAGCTCCCGGAGCCTACATTTTAGTGGAGGAAGACAAGTAAACAACCATAATTTAGTAGAGCTAAGTGTCATGAAATAAATAAAATAGGGGGACGGACTAGAGCAGTGGTTCTCAACCTTGCTACACGTGGGAATCGCTGAAGGATCTTTCAAAGATTCCTGGACTCCCTCCTCCAATTCTGATTTAATTGTTCTGGGTTATGGTGTGGACATCAGGGCTTTTAAAGCTCTCGTGTGCCTGCAAAGCCTGAGAAGCAATGACACCTTGGGAGATACGTTGCACTGCGTTGGCAGGAAGTCTGATTAGTTTGGGCATTCAGAAGAAACAAGTGAAATAACACAAAACAGATGGAATACGATAACTGCTCCTGGGCCTGGAAAAAGACACACTCCTACCACCCCCACCTTAGTCTTTGCTCCTGTGATCAGATCCAGGGCTGAGCTGCAGACTGTTTTATGCATGCAGTTGGGGGTTGGGAGTGATGGAGCCAGCAGTTCTTCTGCATAACTACAATATTTGTAATCTTCCGGTGGCTGTTTCTGAATGTGGGAGCAATCTGGGAGAATTGTGCTGCAGCATAACATCTTAGCTTAGCAACTACTTCAGCTGCTGCCTCTGAGAAGCCTCTCTAGAAAGGGTGGGCCCTGGGCCATCTGCAAGAGATGGGGAGAAGCAAAATCTGTGATCTCTATTACCCTCCTGCACCTCCTACATTGACTCCCACACAGCATTTTTCACAGATGAATCAGATTAAAATAACCATGAATGGCACTTCTTAAGCGTAAAAGAGGACAGAGAAAGGCAACCATGAAATATTTATATTAGCATAGGAGAAGGGCTAGCATACGCCTTGCCTTGGTGGTATTGGGAAGTTTATTAGCTAATTGCAGCTATATGAGCCTCAGAACCTTTTTTTGTCAAGCACTAGTTGGCCAAGCCCTTTGCCAAAATTTTCTCCAGCCCCACCTTCCCCAAATATGCTTCATCTGGAAGGCGGTAGTGCAGTGAGAACAAAAAAGGGGTGTGGGTGTGCGGGTGTGTGGGTGTGAGCAGCTTCTAGATTCAAAAATGGGTACTCATAATAGGCCCTTGCAGTTTTTCATTACCTTTCTCTCCCTACTGCAACTTAGATAGGCGTTGGCAACAATTCACCGCACCCTTTATTTAAATCATTTTCTCCCTGGCTCTGTGCTGCACCTGCATTCAGAAGCTTCTGGGACAGAAAGTTGGTAGAAATAAAACATCAGCCCATATCACTCAGAATTACTAAATGAAGTGAACAGTGAATGGCCCAGGATGCTTGGTGAGAACAAGTGTGTCTCTCTTCCCAGGGCTAGGAGCTAACACTGTTGGACTGTTGATGATGTGAGTAGTTGGTTCTTCCCTGGAACTCAGTCAGCAAGAAGGGGGTTGAAAATCAGTCTCCTGATAGGGAAATTTGGTTTTCTCTGAGCTGTTCACAGTGGTACCCAAGCATGTCACTTTACTGTTCTGCTGCTGAGGAAATGTTTCCATTTGCTCAGAAGGGATGAAAACCTTCATCTTTCTCTTTGAAATTTGGAAAGAATTTTTTTTTTTTAAAGATTTTATTGGGGAATTGGGGGAGGGGAACAGACAAGTTGCTGTCGTTTTGTTCTTCAGTCTAGTTGTGGAGGACGTCGCCCCACTAGCCCATGTTGGTATTATCATTGTGTTCTTCCCAGGTGAGGCAGTCGCTCGCTGACCATTGGACGGCTGCCCACGGCGGCTCTTGGCCGCTCACTGTAGCTTACGGGAGCCCACTGCAGCCTACGCCGTCGCCGGCGACTCATGGCAGCCCAGCTCCAGGTGGAGCTGTTGTTCATCTTAGGTGTAGAGGGCGCAGCGTCACTGGCCCTCATGTGGGATCCGAACTGGGGCCCTGCTGCTCAGAGCTGGCGTCCCAAGCCAGCTCCTAACCAATGTACCACTCGGCCGGCCCGGAAAGAATTTATTTTTATCTGAGTGATACTTAGAGATCATTCCCTACTATGGATTGTGCGTTTGGCTTATCCTTTTTCATGGGGGCTTAATAAGCTGTGTTACTTAGGAGAAATTAATTTCTATTACTATGCTATATAGCCCGTCTGGGCCAGCCTATAATATCATCGTCATAGTTAGATAACCTTGGCTTGAAGCAGAGAAGCTTGGTCAAGGGTGATCTGGACCCAAAAAAAGAATTAATTATCATCTTCCCTCCTCCTCTTTAACAGCAAATAAACAAAATATCCCTCCACACAGACTCTGCCGTCTCTAGAGAAGCCCTTCCTGCTTGTCTTATTCTTAACCAAAGGATCTGCCTGTCTTATTCTAAAGAGCTAGCCCTATGGCATCCTGAATTACAAAGTCCTTTCTATATTTTTGGAAATCCCAATTTGGTTTTCTCCAGTGCTGTCTGCCTCTGGTCCAGAGCACTTGTATAATTCAGTTGCATGTGTTGTCTTATCCAAAAGGTGAGCTTTAACTGCTCATATAGGACCGTGTGCTCTGAATTTTGGCCATGTGAGCTCAGCTTGGAGCTGCCAAGGGTGAGCTGCCAGCCCCAAACGCTGCCTCTTCCAGTGCCCAGACCAGTTTTCTTTAGAGTCCCCCCTTGTTCGAATACAGAGAAACTGGCCTGGCGGCGAGGAGGGCTGTAAGGGAGCACAGAAGGCCCCAGGCTCTCTGCACACGCGTTCCCCAGCGAGCATTTGTTCAGTAGCAGCACTGCTTCGAGTTCTTTTGGTGTTTTGCAAAGCTGTCGCCTGGCAGACCTCAAAGCTGGTGCCATAGCAGTGGCTTCTCTGTCACTGGCTGCCTGGGGGCTGGCGCTCCTAGGGGCTTGTTGCCTCCTGTGAGGGCCACTCTGAGGCCTCCCTTCCTGGAGGAGCCTGTCAGGGCTTGACTCAGGAGGAAAGTTAGAAGTAACAGAGCATTTCTAGAATGCCAAAGAGGAGGCAGAAACCAGGATCTTAACAGAGAGGAAGTTTAGTAGAAGTTAAAAGAGAGGAAGTTTAGTTAAATTAGAAGCAAAGAAAAGCAACTTGTAAACAGATGATAGAGGTAAAGTTCAGTTTTCTAGAACAGCGCTTCTGAAACTTGAACGTGCAAAGGAATCGTCAGAGGATCTTGCTAAAATGCAGTTTCTGCTTCTGGAGATCTGGGATGGAGCCTGAGATTCTGCATTTAAACAGGTTCCTGGGTGTCACAGCTGTGAATCCTCAGAGGAGCAAGGATCAGAGAGCAAAGGTGCTGGCGTTTGAGTTGAGCTGTGGTGCTCCCTGAGTTCTGGGCAGCACAGCCTCAGTGCTCAGGCAGTGAGTCCTGATCAAGGGGCAGTGGAGCCTGGTTCTTAAGAATGCAGACGCTGCTGACCCACACTGCCTGAGTTTTAATTCTGGCCACTTATTAGATGTATGATGTTGGGCAAATTACTTAATCTCTCAGTGCCTCAGTTTCCTCATCTGTAAAATGAGAATAGTAATAGTATCTACTTCATAGAGCTGTTTTAGAATTAAATGAGGTAATGTATATAAAACAAGTAGAATAGCGCCTCATTTGTGGTAAATGTTCGTTGTTGCTGTTATTACCCCTATTCCCATCTGTTTACTGAGTTCACAGTTGGGCCTTCTGCTCCCTGCCTCAGCTATAGACATCTCTTGTCAAAGAAGAAAAGGGCGCTCATGGGGTTATCTGAACTTCAGAGATGCTGCAAGGAACCCCTCCTTTTAGTAAATGAGGTCTAGAAATAAAGTTCTATAGAAGGCAGCTGGAACCTAGCTTTCATATGCATGTCAGCCGTATTTATAGCTTCAAATCGAAGTCTTATGCAGCCTGGTGGACTGTGGGGAAGAGGCCCCCAACATGCATGGCAAGGACATTCCTGGGAGCCGCAGATAGAGGACCCTCTGTGCTGGGCTTGTGTAATTTAAGTCGCCAGTTATCTCTAGGCATTCTGCCTGGCAGGGCCCAGGTGTCAGGTGGCATGAGGCTATTTACATGGGTCTTATTTTCCTCCTGAGAGGAGTACTGAGGTTTGGGAGCGGGTCAACACAAATGTGTCACCCGCCTCTCAGCTCTCCTTTTCTGAGGGTATGAGTTTTTCAAAAGCAGAAATTCACAGAGGAGGAGCTTTTGGTTTGCATAAAGCAGCATTCAGCGAGTCTGTCTCCCATTGCAGCCCCTTGGAGAGTCTCTGCGTGTTCTTTAGCCAGCACGATGCTTTGGGCTGAGCCCAGGACTCAGCTCGCGCTGGAATGTGGGTCTGTGGCGTTCGCCGCAGTGGGAGTGTCTCGTTGTGGACGTCAGAGACAGCAGCCAGGAATGGTTCCAGTCGGCAGCCTGCGAGCAGTTGCTGCCTCTGTAAACCTCCAGTAGTCAGGGAATGAGATGTGCTGCCGAGGAGGCACAGGGTGTCACTGGGCTCAAAATAAAATCTGGTTGTTCCCATTGTTGGCAGAGATGGGTGGGAGATGCCGAAAGGTAGATAGCAGGAGGCTGACCTGTCAGGGCTTCGTTCCTGAGGGAAAAGATCAGGATATCAGTGGATTACCTGTAGTCAGGTTTGTGTTTGTCAGAGAAAGGGACTCTAAACACAGGAGGGTCTGCAGAATCTCAGCCCCGAGAGCAGTGTTTGGCGTGCCACTAAAAGGGGAACGAAGAAGAAAACAGATTCTGACTGACCTAGGTTCCTACCCCAGCTTCGTCACTTAATAACTGTGATCTTAGGCAAATTCATTATCCTCTAGCTGTGTCTCATTTTCCTCATCTATAAAATGAGGATAATTTTTCCTTTTGTAATGTATTGAGAGAATTAAGAAGAAAACACACTTAAATGCAAAGCATATATATAATAACATTGATAACACTGGTCATCTCTGGGGAGGAGAATTAAATTCCTGAGGACACAGGGTAGGAGACTTTACTTTGTACCCTTTTGTAACTTGAACTTTGAACTACATTAATAGTTATCTGTTTAAAATGTTAATTTCACTTCATTTAAAAATAAAATATATATCATAAAATGTATTGATGGAATTTCTAAGAAAGGTGATTGTGCCTAGCTGAACCGCTAATAGATTTTTGTGGTCATATAAAAAAATTTTTTAAACCATTGAAGGCACTCAGCAAATGTCACTTCTGTTCCCTTTTCTATGGTGATCCAGCTCTGCAGCTAGGTCTCTTTAAGTACCTGGAGTCCCCCCTACCCCACCCCAACCCCCACCCCCGCAAACGCATGTACGGACATCCTATAGAGAAACACCTTCTAAGGCCTTCTCCCCCTTGGGAAGAGGACCTGGTGGCCAGAGCCCTGGAGAATGAGCCACCTGCCAAACGAAGCCCTGGGAAGTGGGGGCCCGGCCCAGGCTGTGGGGCTGTGGAGCAGACATACACGCAGCACCACACATGACTGCAGAAAGGTCCAGCGTAGGTAGGAGTTTTTAGGGTTACTGTGGCCTGTTCCTCTGCTAATAGGACCCCAGGCTTCCATCCCACATGGCTGCCCTTCTTTTTCAGATGGCTTTCTCATCCGTTGTCTCATTTGATTTTCAGCAACCTTGTGATGGGCGGATATTCACACACAGGGCCCGAGACTGAGAAGGAATAAGTGACTCGCTTCTGTCACAGAGAAATAACCAGAGTATATAAGCAGCTCATATTTAACCCAGGCTTTCTTTATGCCAGGCACTGTTTGTTTTTCATGTATTACTTGATTTTTATTTCTTAGCAATTCTGCGAGATAGGTACTAGCATCAACTCCACGTTACAGATTAGGAAAAAAAGCTAAAGTGTTTAAGTAACTACCTAGTCAACAGCTAATAAGTGGCGAAACCAGGATTTCAGTTGCTCCCCTACCATACCTCTCACGCCTAGACTAGACCCCAGGCCTCTCCAGTCCTCATACTAATCATGCTACTTATTTGGCATAAACAACGGGCCAGCTTCTCCCTGCTTTGTTAGGAAGAGGGCGACTCTTTACGATGTTACCACTAACAAGACCTGTGTGGGCCCTGCAGGTTCCTGCTTCAGTCTCTGGAAGATTTGGACACAAGTTTAAGGAAACTGAACTCCCGCCTCTTCGTAGTCCGGGGACAGCCAGCTGACGTGTTTCCGAGGCTGTTCAAGGTAAGTGTGCAGAGTCTGAGAGAAGACAGTGAGATTTTGTTCCCCAGGGCTTCCCCTCAGACTATGAATGAGATAATATTCTGACCAAGGAAATGGAAACAGCCGAGGCTAGACTGACTGCTGCTGCCGGAGAAGTTGGGAGCAAACGCCGCCTGTCAGCTTGCCAGCAGAATGGAAACTGTGTTAAGGAAAAAATTCTGTAAAACCAGTGTCTTGTTGGAAAGTTCCCAGCTCAGTCCAGACCTGGGATGTGGCAAATTATTCCACCCTGGATGCCACTGGCTTCCTTAGATGTTTCCTTGGCTCAAGCCAGCAGGATTTATTAGGGCTCTTCCTACGCCAGGAGTTTGAGGGCGAGGCTTCCTGTTTGGCAAAGGGTGTTTCCTGTCTTTTTCTTTGCTTATTGGGAAAAAATTCAGCCTTTCAGAGGGCGCTTCCCTGCTTTCCCTGGGGCAAATGATTTATCAAATCTTCATGTTGGTACCACATAGATAGACCTGTTTACTATGTCAGGTAGCCAGCCCACTTCCCCCCTCACCCCCACCCTTTATAAAGCACGTTTTAAGGCCCAATCAGAGGCAGAAGTGCTCACGGACAGAGGGCACTAAGGGGAATCCCTCCTCAGTGGCACACAGGATGGTTTTTATGCCCCTCTCCACCCAGCTTCCTTTCCTCCTCTTTCTAGGGGAAAAGACAGGAGGAAAGGTCTCCCATCAAGGCAAGCAGCTTCGTAAACACTTCATCGTTCACTTCACCTCCCTGAACCCCCACACACGTACGCGCATGTACAAAGCACACAGTAGTGATAATAGCCAACATTCATTGAGGGTTGACTCTGAGTCATGCACTGTTCTAAGAAAATGGTTTACATACATTCATTCACATACTTCTCGCAGCCCTAAGAGGTGGGTGCTGCTGTCGCTACTCTACAGATGAGGAAACAAGAACTTGCCCATGGTCATAAAGCTAGGATTCACTCAGTCTGTCATTCACTGTATATTGATTGAGTTTCTGCTATGTGCTCGGCCCCATACTAGGTACCAGGGTAATGATGAATGAGACAGCATGGTTTCAGCTCTGAGAGTTCACACATGAATGGGGACATAGGCGGGTAATGGGCAACTTCATTGCCATGTACTGTGATGGGGAAAAGGCGAGGTGCAGGAAAATCATCCTGGAGGAGAAGGTCAAGGAAGGCTTCTTGGAGAAGGTGTCCTCCACTAGCATTCTGATGATAGTTCTCAGGGTTATGAGTGTTTAACAATGTAATCAATATGAACCGCTAAGCCTGGTACTTGGCTCATAGTAAGGGCTCCACAAATGTTTAGTGCTATTGTCCCTGGACCAGGGATAAGCAGCCCTGCTCAGGACCCACACTCCAAGCAGGGCTGAGTCAGGACCACACCAGCCTGTGTGTGACAGGACATTTGCCCCAAGGGGTTCGGAGTTTTAAGGGACCATGACCAGAGACTGGTTGGAATGTGGTTTTGTGGTTTTCTTCTTGCTAGCTGCGTGCTCTAGAGCTGTCTGTGGGTTATCTATACAACCTTTCTCTGGGCCAACTGTCTTCCAGCATTGCTAGGAAATCTAGAAATTTCTGTTGGAAATGACTAACAACTTGGAAAAGAATTCCCTTCCTTTTAAACATGGGGCCCCTCTGGTTTGATTTCTCCGACCTCTGGACGAAGGGTTGCTCTTCCTTCCGCAGCTCTCTGAGAGCTGGAGCTATTAGCTCTGTTTGCCACTGGCCTCAGGAGTGTTGCTGTGGAAACCATTAGGACACTTCATATAGCACAAGCCTGCCAGGAAAACTAGGCCAGAAGTTTTGTAGGGCCGTGAAGAGCTCTGGGAAAGGCCTACTGAGCAGGAGGGAGGTGGCAATCCTATCCCTCACCAGTGAATCAGTGCCTCTTTCAGGGACTGGGGGCTTCCCCAGAGCGTTGTATTTCTAGCCTCCTGATGCATTCTCCTACCTCAGGGTCACAGCAAGTCCACAGGGCTGCCCACCTCTCTCCTGACTCCACAGAGAGACCACTGGCCTTGGGCTCCCGTGTTGCCTTGCTGTTGGCCTCACCTGAAAGGCCTGCCCTCCTTAAACCTTGTGAGCCTCAAGTTGTTTGCTTTCCAGTTCAAATCATTGTCCCTGGTTTGTTCCGTAGCCCATTCTGACAGGTCTCTAGATTTGCTCTGTTCCCTCCCAGGAAGGAGCTGAGTGCTCAGCTTCCGCCTCCTCCCTAAACAGTGTTTAGAATAACAGATTCTCTCCCCGCAGGAATGGGGGGTGACCCGCTTAACCTTTGAATATGACTCTGAGCCCTTTGGGAAAGAACGGGATGCCGCCATCATGAAGATGGCCAAGGAGGCTGGAGTGGAGGTGGTGACCGAGAACTCTCATACTCTCTATGACCTGGACAGGTAAGAGGTGGGGCCCAGGGGTCAAGCTGTCAATTCTGGGAGTTGGTGATTTGGGCCCCTGCTGAGCAGAACTTGGGGAGGTTTAGCTATAGAGCCACCTGGCACATGAGATATGGCATCTTCTAGAAGCTGGAGGAGAACGGACCAGTGTCGCAGCCTGTAGAACAGGTCACAGAGAACTTGACCCGATTTGGGTGCACAGAGGCTCCTTAGGCCCAAGGGATGGAAGCAGTGAGGATCCCCACTCAAGATCTTCATAGATCTGCCCCTGATATGCTCCAGTCCACCCACTCCTCATCCTCCCACTTCCATTCCGCTCCTCAAAAGGCTGCCCGCTGACTTCATTAGACCCTAAATGTTACCTCTCAACAGATCTCTGTTCTCATAGGCCCAGTTTCTGTACCTAGTACGAGTTCCCTGGGCTCCTCGGGCTATCTGGGTTTCCAGGCCATGCATTTAGACGTTGCTCAGGAGGCTCCAGAGATCCCTGCAGGGAGCTGATAACCACAGAGTAGCCTCCTTCCCTGGAGACTGGCCTCTGCGCTTTCAGAGAGTCTAGGAGGAAACCCTCTCCTCCCCTTCCCTGGCAGAGCTGTCACCCTCCTCCTGCTGCTGCTGCTGCTGCTGCTGCCGCCAAGCCAGCAGCCACCACTTCTCCCCGCCCCCCTCTCCCCAACGCAGTGGTGGCTGCCAGGAGGCCAGGTCACACAGCTCTGCACGTGAGCTGAGCTCTCAGGAGGAGTTGCTGGGTGTGGAGCTCCTCTTCCTGCCACGTGCCAAAGGAGGGGGGAGGTGCTGCAGGGGCGGCAGCCAACCTTACATCTCCTCTAATGGAGGAGCGCGAGAGAGACAACCGAGAAATGAACTCACCCAGCCAGCCGGTCTTGCCTTGCGCAAGCTGCTGCTTGGCCAACAAGAGCCCTGGGAATCGGCCTTCAAACCAGTTCATCCTTATATAAACAGCCTCAGTTCTCCTCCTCACTCTCCTGTATCGTCTTACCTGAGTACAGCTACGTTTCCCTTGCTCATGAAAAAAATATTTTGTGAGCTACAAAATACCCTTTAAGTATTAGTTGTTGCTATTAATAACTCCAGGCCCAGCTGCTGACACAAGGAGGAGAGGCTGTTCTCCACCTCTCTGTTCTAGGAAATAGAGGCCACAAAGGGAATGATTTTCCCTCAAAGGAACACATTCGCAGCCCTCATCAAAGAACTTCAGAAGGCAGAGGAAGGCCCACAGGGATCCCCATGGCGTGGAGAGTCAGGCCCGATACCAAGAAGGCTAGTGGGATTCTTCCATGATTAGAGAGAGCTGGTCAGCCTGTGTTTAGGCAGCTCCACATCAGCACCAGGAAATTGAGTGCCATCTTTGGCCCTGCCTTGCTCCATTGCCTGAGGCACCTGCTCCAGCTCCCTGGGCTTCATTGTCCCTCTCAGCAAAACGGAGATGCAGCCTCCCTTGCCCCTCCTTTCCATTTAGGGGCGGGACCTGTGAGCAGATGAGGAAAGGTACCCTCCAAGTCTTCAGAGTCTGGGCTGTTTTCTGGGTGAGCAGGGATCCAAAATGAAGGGCCTTGTGAGTGACATTAGGTGTGCTTTGGAATCCCCAGGATCATCGAGCTAAATGGGCAGAAGCCGCCCCTTACCTACAAGCGCTTTCAGGCCATCATCAGCCGCATGGAGCTGCCCAAGAAGCCCATGGGCTCTGTGACCAGCCAGCAGATGGAGAGCTGCAGGGCCGAGATCCAAGAGAACCACGATGAAACCTATGGCGTGCCCTCCCTAGAGGAGCTGGGTGCGTACTTCCGGCCCCAAGCCTCTTACGCTGGCACCTCCTTTTTTGTAAAATAGCTTATTGGCTTTTTCTCCTTGGTCAAAGTAACGCATGTTATTATAGACAATTTAGAAAATACAGAGAAATGGAAGTGGAAATAACAACCACTATCACCCACCACCCAGAGATAACCACTGTTAATTTTGGAGTATGTCCTTCTGCTCTCTTTTCTGTTTGTACTCATGTATGTAATTTTATGTTTCTAGCTCATGCCTCCATTTTTGTGCTTTTCCCTCTCAGATGATATAGGCACAGTCTGGTGCTGGCATCCTTGGGTTTCTCAATACCAAGATAACTGGTATTGTTTCTGTCGACGGGGGGAGTTCTGTCAGCTGCTCCTCTTTCCCGTCCTCCTCCCACCCTCATTTTTTTTTGTTTTGTTTTTTTAAAGATTTTTATTGGGGAATTAGGGGATGGGAACAGTGCTGGGGAATTGGGGGAAGGGGAACAGACAAGTTGCTGTCATTTTGTTCTTCAGTCTAGTTGTGGAGGACATTGCTTTCCTGGCCCAATTTGGCACCATCATTGTGCTCTTCCTGGGCGAGGCAGATCAGTCGCCGGCTTCTGGACGGCCGCTCACGGCGGCTGCTGGCTTCTCACGCCGGCTGCTGGCTACACATGGTAGCCTATGGCAACCCACTGCCACAGGGGCTGCAGCCTACGCCGTCACCGGCGACTCATGGAAGCCCAGCTCCAGGTTGAGCTGTTGTTCAGCATCTTAGCTGTGGAGGGCAGTGTCACTGGCCCTCATATGTGGGATCCGAACCGGGGTCCTCTGACGTCCCAGGCCAGCTCTTAACCAACACACCACTTGGCCGGCCCTGTTTTTCTTTTTTGTTTGTTTGTCTTTTTAACTTTATTGGGGAACAGTGTTTTTTCAGGGAACAATGTATGTTTTTTCCAGGACCCATCCGCTCCAAGTCAAGTTATTGTCCTTCAGTCTTAGCTGTGGAGGGCGCAGCTCAGCTCTAAGTCCAGCCGCCATTTTCAATCTAGTTGTGGGAGGCACAGCCCATCATCCCATGCGGGAATCGAACTGACAACCTTATTGTTAAGAGCACGTGCTCTAACCAACTGAACCATCCGGCCGCCTCCTGGCAGCTCAGCTGCAGCTCAGCTAAAGTTGTTGTTTTCAATCTAGTTGTAGAGGGCACAACTCACTGGCTCATGTGGGAATCAAATTGGCAATCCTGTTGCTCAAAGCATGCACTCTAACCAACTGGGCCACCTGGCCACTCCCCACCCCCATTTTTTGACCTGAACAAAGTTAACTTTTCTCATCTGAAAACCACAGTTATTGCTGGCTAACCTGAAAGAGTGAGCAGCAGTCCAGGATTGTTCTCATCTGCCTGGGAGGAGAAGTGGCTGGGATGGGGAAGTGAGGGGAAAGGAGAGAAAAGTCATACTGGGAAGAGAACTGGAATAACCTAGAAAACACTGGAAGTTAAGGGTTATCTCAGCCTCAGTAGCACTAAGAACACCACGGTTCAGTTCTCACAAAGCTCAAAGAACAGACCAATGTGTCAGGACTTGCTGACTTAGCGCTGGAAAGGCCTGACCTTCAAACCTGGGATGTGCTCCTTCTCTTGCAGGGTTCCCCACTGAGGGACTTGGCCCAGCTGTTTGGCAAGGAGGAGAGACAGAAGCTCTGGCCCGCCTGGATAAGCACTTGGAACGGAAGGTATGGACCCCCTTTCTGAGACAAGAAGCTCAGATGTGGGCACCCATGCAATGGCGGATATAGGGTCAGGTTCATGTCCCTTGGTGCCTCTTAGCTCAGAGTGGTTGAAAAACGAAAAATCTTCCTGATGGCCGTAACAACAACAGCAATAATAGCAGCTGCCGTTTAGTGAGTGCTGACCACATGCTGGTCACTGGGCTGAGTGGATCTGGGTTGCATACCTGCTTGCATTAGTTCCTTTGATCTTGCCAACAGCCCTACAAAGTAGGTATTAAGCTTTCCATTTTGCAGATTAGGAAATCAAGGCTTAGAGAGGTTACTTCACTTGCCTAAGGTCACATAGTACTAGAGTGAGATCTTGCTTTATATGATTCTAAAACTTATGCTAGATTGCTTTTCTTTTATCTGTGGGCATGTTGCCCCTACTAAAAGGTTATCTGATCAGTAAAGTCCATAAGATTCATTGTTTTGTGTTTATGTGTCCCCCTACCTTTTGCTGAGTCCCCTCCAAGGCATTGATTTCCATTTGCTTGGACTCGGAGAACAAATGGCTCGCCTCCCTGTGAAGTGGGAATTGGTAAGGGGAAAGAAAGAGGCAGAGGCACACGGCACTTGGCCTTCACCACTCTGGGACTAGAGGAGCAGAGAAGGTTTTCAGGACTGAGAACAGTCAGCTCCTAGTTTCCTATGCCCTGCAGCTAGTTTATAGACTTGGTCCCTAAAATCACAACTCTTTGTATTCCTGCTCAGATGACTAGGCACTTGGCCCATCAGCTAGGTGATAACAAAGGAACAGTGGAAAAAGGAGGCTAAGGCAGGCCTGCTGCGAGGAATGCTTTCCAGCCCTGGGGGAACCGTGGGCCCAGCCTCCCTGAGGCCAGCGGCCCTGATGGCTGTTGCCATCACCAGAGCAGAAAGCAAGATCTACTGACTTAAAAGGATGAGAACTGATACCCAAAGGCTATGGGGAACCAGCTATCTCTGTCCCCATCAGGAGCTTTACCCAGAGATTCTTGGGATCAGTTTGGAGACAAAGGCAGGGCCAAGGAGGCAGAAGGGTGAAGATGACAAATGGAGTGGCAGGAATAGGTAAGACTTAAGAGCGCAGAGACATAACTTAGGGCCTGTGGGTTATTATTGCCTCAAAAGCATTTTGTAGAGGAATGCCCCTTTGGTCATCAAGTCTGGGGCTCCTTTTCCACACTTGCCTGAAGGGCCTCTTCTGTCATGGGGCCTGATGTCAGGATCTTTCAGCCTCTGGTGGCCAGAGAAAACGCTGAGTCCTACACATCTGGGAGAACAAAGGGTGCCTGATGGACAGGAGTTCAACCGGATGTCAGGAGGTTTATGTTAACTTCTTCAGCTGTCCAAATCTGCAGTGAGCATCTACTCATGTCGATGGTCTAGCCACTAGAAAGACTGCACAACAAGACAGGCATGGAGCCTGTCCCCAGAGTCTGTTGGAGATCATTGACGTGAAACAAGGAGTTACAATGTGTTAAGGGTTAGGAAAGGAGTGGCTCAGAGGATTATGGGAGCAAAAAATAAAAGGGTTTTATTAAGCAGCTCTTGTTTACAACTTGGCTTTTGAAAAAAGAATTTTTTAACTCACACAACCAAGAGTCCAAGGGGCAGCCTTTAGGTACAGCTGGATCTAGATGTCCAAATAATGCTGCTAGGAATACATTCTCCATCTCTCAGCTCTGCTTTCCTCTGTATTATTTCATTCTCAGTCCTTGAGTAGTGGCAAAGGTGGTCACCAGCAGCTTGTTTTCAACCTGTTTAGCAACACCAAAGGAAGGAAGTTGTGTGCCTCTTTACCAAAAGCTCCAGAAAATGCCCTGAGGAGTGTTTTCACTGGCCAGGCTTGGGGCATGTGACTGTTCCTGACTCAGTCACTATGGCTGGGAAAGGGGTGCTTTCCCTGACCAGACTCACATCATGAGCTCACTCCCAGAGTCAGGAGGCTGACTCAGCTCCACTTTGTCCTTTTGGTCTGAGATTAGGGAAGGCTGGGTCACCCCAAGAAAATTAGGTGCTGTTACCAAAAAGGAAAGCAAACTGCGTGATATTTACCACTGGGCTACCCAATAGTAGATAAGAACAAGCTATAATAGTATCCCTATTATCAAATGGAAAAGGAATGATGGAATTAGAACACCACCACTTTACAGCCCCACTGATGACACATTATGCATTAATGACTGCTGACCTCATAATGAGAGAAAATCAGGCATTGTGTTTCCCCTATAGTCTTGCCAAAGAGATAAACCTGAGTCCAGTCTGGTCTGGTGCCAGCCTCCACCTTGCAGGCAGTACCCAGGACAGTGGGACGTGTCGAGCCACACCATGAGTGTGCAATCAGCAAAATCCGGACTGCGGGAATCAATGCAAATCGGATGGCCTAGGTTCTTCCGCAGAAAAGCTGAAAGGAAAAGCAAGAAATAACAGTAAATGTGTAGAGTAAAATAAACTTAAATAACATCAGTTACTTAAATGGCCAAGGCTAAATTGTGATGCTGGGGGATGCACATTTGAATAAAAAAAATAATAAACACTTAAAAATACAAGAAATAACTGTGATAAAGCCCTCCCTTCCAAATAGGCTTTGCAAAAATAGAAAAATGTAAACATTTTTAAATGCAAGGAAGTGTTTATTATAGAAGTTGGGTGAGGGGACCGTGATGGGAATAAGCATTTAGATGGGCTTCTGGGGTGGCCAATGAAGCTCTGATTCTTGGTGGTGGCTGCACAGGTGTTTGCCATAGAATAAGAATAATTCTTAAAGCCACACGTCTGTGTCGTTTCTGCACCTGAATTTCACTTCAGATTTTCAAAGCAAGGTGGGTAAGATGGATAAAGCAGGCAAATACACCTCGTTTCGGTTAGAGGTACATAACCTAATACCTGAGGGCTCTCCTGCTGAGAAAGTGGCCTTTAGGTTGAGACTTGAAGGAAGAGTCCAAATTAACCAAGAGATGGTGAGTAGAAAGGAAGATAGTGTTCCAGGCCAAAGGAGCTGCATGTGCAAAGACTAGTAAAAACATGGTGCTTAGAAGAGTGATGAGAGATGAAGCCGAAAGATGGGCCCACCCAGACTGTGGGGTGCTTGTAAGCTAGGTCTAAGATTTGGGACTCTATCCTAAATCCTATCCTAATCTATCCTAAGGGACAGGCTTTTTATTTGGACATTTAAAATATACCCAAAAGTAGAGAATAGAATAATGAAGCCACTTACACTCATCACCAGTTTCAATAATTTTTTCCAGTTTTATTGAGATATAATTAACATATAGCATTTATTAGTTTAAGGTGCACAACATAATGATTTACTATATGTGTATACAGTTTACCCTTGAACAAGTGGGGGAAAGGGACCCTGATCCCTGTGCAATTGAAAATCTGCATATAATTTTTGACCCTCAAAAAGCTTAAGTTGGGAAAGGCATTATTTTATTTTATTTTTTAATTTTGTTTAAAGATTTTATTGGGGAAGGGGAACAGCCAAGTTGTTCTTCAATCTTAGTTGTGGAGGGCACAGCTAGCTCAGCTCCAAGTCCTATCACCATCCGACCGCTCACGGCCGCTCAGCTCAAGATTCCGTGTTCAATCTTAGTTGCGGGTGGGTGTAGCCCACCATCTCATGTGGGAGTCGAACCGGCAACCTTATTGTTAGGAGCATGTGCTCTCACCAGCTGAGCCATCCTGCCACCTGTTGGCAGCTCACTGGCCCATGTGGGAATCGAACTGGCGACCCTGTTGCTCAGAGCTCGCACTCTTAACCAACTGAGCCACTTGGCCAGCCCCAGGGACAGGCATTTTAAATAATCATTCTGCTCCCAGTGTGGAGACTAGATTACAGGGGGACAGGAATAGATGTCGGAAGCTGTTGGGGGCTGTGACAGGAGGCTGTCACAGTTGACCAGTCTAGATAAGATCTTAGCCTGAACCAGGTTGGTAGCAATAGAGAATGGAAAGAAAGGGACAGATTTGAGAAATATTTGGACAGTAGAATTGACAGGATTTGGCAAGGGGAAAGTCAAAGCCTTTTGGCTTGGGCACCTGGGTGGATGACAGTGCACTTTCTGAGATAGGGAATGCCAGTGGAAGAGTGGTTTAAAGAAAAGAGCCTGTTACACTTGAGGTGCCTGAAAGGCAGTCAGGCAGAGATCTCTGGCAGGGAGCTGAATGGAGTGATCTGGGAGTTCAGGTGAGCCATCTGGGCTAAGGCACAGACATGGTGATCATCTACAGAGACAGTCGTAGGAGCCACAGGACTGCTCACCCAGGAACACAGTTGAGTAGAAGACCTAGGACAGAGCCCTGGGATGCCAACATTTAAGGGGTCAGGATGGGTGTTGGAGTTGGTGAAACATCAAGAGTAGCCAGCCAGCTGGGAGCCAGCCAGGAGCATGTGAAGTCCAGAGGCTAATGGAACGGAGGACATGGATAGGGGTGCAGTCAGGAGGGTGAGGTGCTGCTGAGAGGTTCTGAGATACAAGGACAGAAAATGCCTGCAGGATTCAGTGGCATGGAAATCACAGTGACGGTGGTGGCAGCCAGCGTGTTGGGAATGGTGAAGACTGAAGCCAGAGTAGGGTAGGCTAGAAAGTGGAGGTGGGCGTGGGAAAATGGAGAGGCTGGCTCTGCAGGGAAGAAAGAGGACCCAAGGGTTAAGGGAAGCTTTTATTTTTGTTTTGTTTGCAAAGAAACGAGATCCTTTTCCCAGTGTTCTTGGAGTGGAAACTGAAGAGAGAGAGAGAGATGGAATGTGCGAGAGAAGGAAGAGGAGAGGGCTCTAGAGCCCGGTGGAGGCCTTGGCCTTGGGCAGGGTCACAGGAAGGGGAGGGAGTAGGTGTGGGTGCAGGCATCTTCATAGATTTGGTGCCTAAAAACATTTCCCACCTGATGGCTTCTGTCTCCTTATCATAAGGAAGGAAGGTCATCTGCGAAGGGTGGTGGGGAAGCGTGGAGTAGGAGGTCTAAGGAGAGTGTGACGTTTGTGAACTAGTCATCATGAAGGGACAGAGGGTGTTAGGAGTTGAGAAAGAGAACAGTTATTAGATGTGGTGGGAAAAGACTGGAATCTAAAGTCAGAAGCTAAGTTCCTCCCAGCCCTGCCTCTTACCATCTCTGTAACCCCGAGGGGTCGTATAACCCTTTGAGCTTCATTTTGTCATTTTCGAAAGGAGATAATGACAAATGCTGCCTCAGAGGATTGTTAAGATCAAATGAGAGAACATGTGTAACAGTGAGTTGTGAAGTAAAGCACAACGTTAGCGGCAAGTCATGGTAAAAACAAGACCAATAATACTATATGATAAATGGCTCCAGAAATGAATGACTTCGTGGGGCCCCAGGAATGGGTTGGGAGTCCCTCCTTTTGCAGCCACCTGAACAATGGCGCGAAGTCCCTGGGTAGCCAGGATTCGGCAGCAGCCTCAGGGGCTCTGTGATGAGAGCAGGACTGAGATAGGGATTTTTTTTTTTTCTGTGAAATAGAAGCCTTTTTCCCTTTCTTCTGTATAATCACAGACCATTCAGTGCTTACAGAATGCTTTCATGTCATTTTGTTTAATCCCCGGGAGGTGGGAAATTTTGTTCTCATTTAATAGGTAAGTAGCCAAGGGACTAAATAACTTCTTCACCATCAAACCACAAGTTCAATAGCAGAGTCAGGACAAGAATGTGGGCCTCATTGTTTGGTCTAATGGGGGTTCCATTGAAAATCTTGCTGCATGAAGGAGTGAAGTGAGCAGGGTTCGGGTCCTGGCTCCCCGGCTTTCTGTTCTGTGACCTTAGCACGTTCCTTAGCCACCTGGTGCCTCAGTTTTTTTCTCTGTGACATCCAGGCCTCTCCTTTCTTCACCTTCTGCCTTCTCTTTCGCTGCAGGCCTGGGTTGCCAACTATGAGAGACCCCGAATGAACGCCAACTCCCTGCTGGCCAGTCCCACGGGCCTCAGCCCCTACCTGCGCTTCGGCTGCCTCTCCTGCCGCCTCTTCTACTACCGCCTGTGGGACCTGTATAAAAAGGTGAGGCCACCGTGAGGGCGGCACGCCCCGCCCCCAGCTGCAGCCAAGGGGACCAGGGCCCTCTGGGCCACTCATTCACCCTGAAAGAGGCCTCCTGTCTGGCCTTGGGAGTGGGGACTAGGCCGTGGGTCCTGGAGGTACTTTAGTGGGTATATAGCCAGAGAAGGTGGGGAAGAGTCCTCATCCAGAAGCTGGCAGAGCTGAGCACAGCCCAAATGCTGATCTACATAAAATCCGGGTTATTAAGTAGAACAGGACAGGCAGAAAAGCCGACCTCAGCCTGTGCCCTGGAGGTGACAGACCTACTGGCAGCCGGTGGAAGGAGAGGAGCGCTCGGTGGGGGGCAGGGAGGGTGAGGCTGGAGAGCACAGCGGCCCTCTATGGGGCAGTGTCCACAGCATTGGAAGGGGGACTCCAGGAGTGGCTGCATGCAGGGCTGTGCCATACAGACCACGGGCAGATATCCCTGTGGTAACGCCCCCACCCCCTGACAGAGAGAGGGCGACACAATACCTCTTCCTGTATCTGTGTTGTTTCACATTTCCCTGCCCTTGCCAATATCAGGATCTGTGGCATGGGGTGGCTTTGCCAGTTTGGTGAGTAATTTTGTGATTTTAGGCAAATCAGTATTTGCCTGAAGGTCTGATCTCTTAATTCTGTCATGGCCCTAGATCCAGGCCGTTGTGTGTAACTTATGTAACCAGAATTTAAAGTGAGCATTTTTTACGTGTAATGATGGGGAAAATCCCTTTCACATTCTAGAAAGTGGAGCCAAACAAGGACCCTTGAGGAGAAGGATCATGACCCAACCTGGGGAGTTTGGTTCCCAGCAGTGACATCCCTTTCCACTGCCCACCTCCCTACAGCCACTGTCATTGCTCAGAGCAGGGCACAGCCGGGGCCTGGGGGCTCAGCCTGCAGACACGCCGTTTCCCTTCTTCTCGGGGCAGTCCCTCCACATGTCTAAGGGCTTTGGAGCCACCAGGTTCATGGCATCTCCACAGCTCCACATCCCTTTGTGGGAGGGGCCCGAGTGACATGGTCCTGAGAGTTGGGTGAGCGTTTATATCCACATGCTCCTCCCATCCCCAGGTGAAACGGAACAGCACACCTCCCCTCTCCTTGTTTGGGCAACTCCTGTGGCGAGAGTTTTTCTACACGGCAGCCACCAACAACCCCAGGTTTGACCGCATGGAGGGGAACCCCATCTGCATCCAGATCCCCTGGGACCGCAATCCCGAGGCCTTGGCCAAGTGGGCCGAGGGCAAGACAGGCTTCCCTTGGATTGACGCCATCATGACCCAGCTGAGGCAGGAGGGCTGGATCCACCATCTGGCCCGGCACGCCGTGGCCTGCTTCCTCACCCGCGGGGACCTCTGGGTCAGCTGGGAGAGCGGGGTCCGGGTGAGTGCTGTCTCAGAGGGAAGCTGGCCTGTACCCTCTTGTCAGGCCTGGCCGTGGGCAGCGCCCTCTAGGCTGGGGGGTGGGGTGGGATCCCTGGGTCCAGGAGATCCCCTCCAAATCCTCCTTGTGGGCTCAGAGGGCATAGATGGGGATTTCCAGCAGAAGAGCTTTGGCTCTTTTCTCCACAGGGAGTGTTGTGACTTGGGGGAGAGTCATGGCAGCAGGTCCCCAAGTAGGCTGATTGTCTCACCCTCCCCATCTAGGTATTTGATGAGCTGCTCCTGGATGCAGATTTCAGCGTGAATGCGGGCAGCTGGATGTGGCTGTCCTGCAGCGCTTTCTTCCAGCAGTTCTTCCATTGCTACTGCCCTGTGGGCTTTGGCCGCCGCACGGACCCCAGTGGCGACTACATCAGGTAAGTGTCCAGACCAGGCTCTGGCTTCGGGCCACTGTGGCCTCCTCCTGGGATGGTATACCCTTAGCCCTTTAAAGGAGGGTCCCAGTGTGCTGATGGGTTGTCTGTTGTGTGTGTTTCAGGCGATACCTGCCCAAATTGAAAGGGTTTCCCTCTCGATACATCTATGAGCCCTGGAATGCCCCCGAATCAATTCAGAAGGCAGCCAAGTGCATCATTGGTGTGGACTACCCACGGCCCATCGTCAACCACGCCGAGACCAGCCGGCTCAACATTGAGCGAATGAAGCAGATTTACCAGCAGCTCTCTCGATACCGGGGACTCTGTAAGAAGCTACCACTCCCCTGCCATCCCCTAGCTCACTGAAAGGAAGGGCAGCACCTGCGGGCCCAGAGGGCGTAGATGGGGACTTCCAGATACTTGCAAAGGGAGAGTGAGTGCTAACTTCCAGGCTGTTAGGTTGACCTGACCTCCCATAACACGGGACACTGCAAGCTGGGCTGGATCGGGCCTCTGAGTAGGTGTGGCCAGTGGGAAGAGATGGAACCTCACTGTCACGGCCCATCATCCCCGCACCACCACCACCTTGTCTTCACCTGCCCTGCAGCTCACTATAGTCCTGGGAGAGTAAATCCTGATTACCCCCCTGCCTTTTTCCTAGGTCTGCTGGCGTCTGTCCCTTCCTGTATGGAAGACCTCAGCAACCCGGTGGTAGAGCCCAGCTCGAGTCAGACTGGGAACATGAGCAGTGCAGGTGAGTAGCAGCTGGCCTGCCATGGCCTGTGCCCATCCCAAGGGCACAGCAGAACTACCACCACTTTTCGTCACTGAAGGCTGAGAACAAAGCCCCGATGGAGCTTATATTCCACCTGATAGAGAAAGGTAGCAAAGGAGCCCTGCAGATCTTTTCAGATAACAATGCTTTTGGGAAAACAAACTGGAGTGACCTGATAAGAGAGAGGCTGGGGAAAGGAGGTTACTTTGGATTACTTTAGGTTGCGGTAGTCAGGGAACGCCTCTCTGAGAAGGGACCCAAGGAGTGAGCAGAGCCAGCCTTCCCAAGAACTGTGGGGAGAGCACTCCCAGCAAAGGGAAAAGCAAGAAAAGCCCCAGAGACGGGCATGAGCTAAGCCCATTCAGGAAGCGCAGGGAGGGTGGCCAGTGTGTCTGGCGTGTCCGAGAGAGGAGCTAGGATGAGAGAGACGAGGACGAGATAGAGCAGGAGCAGCGTGGCGGAGGCTCGCTGTCCACGAGGATTCAGAGAAGGCACTGACGGGTGGTCAGCAGGGCGGAGGCGTGATCTGAGTCATGTTTTCCAAAGCTACTCTGCCAGCTGTGTGGAGGGGACAGTATGGGCAAGAGAGTACAGGGAGGTCAGCGGGGGGGTGACTGCAGATGGCAGGCAGGCAATGGCAGCACGGCCTGGGTGCTGGCCGGAAGGAGGGGGAAGTAGACAGATTTGCTGCATTCTCAGCCTCCTCCCTACGGCTCTGGGGTCAGTAAGGTGAGACTGGCAAGAACTCCGGGGGTTCTAGTTTTCCCAGGGAGGCCGGCTTCGCAGTTGAGGGTGCTGCTTGTTCCGACTTCAGGAGGCCCAGCCAGGGTTGCAGGAGGAATGCCTGACCTTCAGAGCTAGGACAGCAGACAGGCCCGTGGGATTTGGCGCCCAAAAGCTGGCCCTGATGCCAGCAGGCCTGGTCGTGCTCTTCTTGGACATTTCCAGGCAGGGTCACTGCTGAAAGGAAGGCGGGGGGCAGGTCTGAGGAGCTGCATGCAGGCGTGGGATTGTTGAACAGGCTCCCTGCCCCCTAAAGAGCTGCTGCTGCACCTTGCGGGTCACGCTGGCGCTCTGCAGTCTGTGTGACACTTTGTCCTGCTTCCCTACAGGCCCAAGACCACTACCCAGTGGCCCAGCGTCCCCCAAACGCAAACTGGAAGCAGCCGAGGAGCCACCTGGTGAAGAACTCAGCAAACGGGTCAGGGTGGCAGAGTTGCCCGCCCCAGAGCTGCCGAGCAGGGATGTGTGAGAGTGAGTGACAGCAGCTTCGATTCAGCTCCGGGGGGGAAGGTGGGAGAGAGGTGGGAGCAGGTTTGGAAAACTACTGCCCTTCCAGCTGGAGGTTAAAACCCAGCAAACTTGATCAAAACCTGGTGGCGACTGCATGATATTTTAGGATTTCAGCTAAAAAAATTCTACCATTCTGACTTCTATACTTTCTAAAATGTAAAAGGAAATTTAAAAGTATAGCCCTTTCTTTCTTTGCCAGTTAAGGAGAAAAAATGCAGGGGGAAGGAAGGATGCTCTTTCTACTTATCAAAGTGAGTCAAATCCAACAAAAAGAAAGCAGAGACCTGGATGAGGGAGAAAGGGCCCTGTGGAGTCAGGATGCTAGAAGAGGCCCCGCGGCCATTGCCGGGAGAGGCTGTGTTCTGTAGCCAGGCCAGCGGAGGGCAGCACTTACTTTCAGAAGAGAGGCTCACTCAGCCCAGCCCCACCTAAGGACCAGCAGACCCCAGCTCCCCATCATCTTCCTGTGCCTCTTACAACCACGCCTCCATTCTCAACTTTCTTGTGGTTGGCTCTGTGCCTCCCTGTCAGCGCTCATCTTTCTTAGCGGCGCCCTGAATGTTATTTTTAAAAAAACCAAAAAACTAGCTCCTCCTTCTCTAGGGCAAGAAGGGCCTTTTATGCGTTTCTTGGAGAAATAGAAATTACTGTCCTCATTGAGTCATCATCTCAGGCTGTTCCTCGTGTACCATGTCTGTGTCATGAGATTGGAGGGTGAGTTTCTCCACAGAGCCAATTGTTTCTTTTTCCAAACCCCCCCACTTCAGGGCGAGGCGGGCCGTCTGGTTTGAGTGTCGAGGCTAGAATGCAGGTGAGGCAGACTGTTTGTTGCTGTGTCCCTTACCCTGCTATGCTCTTTGTCTGAGACAGTGCTGATGGACAGATTTGTGCTGTCTTGTTCTAGGAGCACTGACAACCTTAGATACTGCTGTCCCAGTTATCAGTTAGCTCTGTGACACTAAGCAAAGTTCATTCTGTCTTGCAAACCTGGTACTTACCAAGCTGATATTCTGACTTTCAGGTGAGAAGACCAAAGAACAGAGAGAGGTTAAATGTCTGGGTCAAGGTTATTCAGTAAGCTAATGGCATCCAATTCAGCATGAAATTGTTGCCAACAGGTGTGTGAAGAAGGGGAACGTAAGACATATAAAATGTGATATGATGCATATCCACAAGGATTTAATAGTCTGCTTAGAAGAAAAAGACAAGTAACCTATGATTCCTAGACAGATGATGCAGACTCTACAGACTTATCCCACAGCAGCTATTGGTGGGCTGGAGCAATCAGGAAATGCAACACAGAAGTTTACATTAGGGGGCCTAAAGATGAATTGGATTTCAGCAGCAAGGAGGGCATTTCAGAGAAGAAAAATAGCGTAATGATTACTTGATGTACAAGTTACCTAACTATGAGATTCTGTTGCCTCACCTATAAATTAGGTTGTTGTTGCAAAGATTAAATGATTAAATGTAAGTGTCAGTTAGGAATGGGTGAGACTTTAGGAGTAAAAAACCTGACTACTGTATCTGAAACAAATAGGGATTTATTTTCTTATCTAACAAGATGCTCAGAACTGGGTGTTGCTGGTTTGGGTTTGGTGGCTTAACACTGTCAGCCAGTTTTCCTGAGATTCTCTTGCTTCAGAGTCTCAAGGTGGCTGCTATAGCTTCAGCCATCAATTCCTCATGCAAAGCAGGAAAGAGAAGGAATAGCAGAGACAGCTGCACGTATTCATTCAACAAACATGTAGTAAGGGGTCACAATTTGCCAGACACTGTTGTAGGTTGCGAACAAGACTGACAAAGTCCCTTTCCTCTTGGGTACATCTTAGTGGGAGGAGACAGACAATAGACAAATATATAATATGTCATGAGGCAATAAGTGGTATGAAATAAAAATAATTTTGGGTAAGAAGATAGAAAGTAAAGGTTGCAGCACAGTGGAGGTTGCACTTTTATATTATAAGGGATGTCAGGGGGGTGCCTTTCTTCCTTTTTATCAAGAAAATAAACACTTTCCCAGAATACCCCTCCCCCAGCTTTTCACATTGGTCTCATGAGCCAGAACTGAGTCATAAAGCCACACCCGAGAGTAGGGTCCGGGCTTGTCAGGATTGGTTTAGACCATTGGTTTTCCAACCTGAGTAAGCAGCAGACTCCCCTAGAGAATTTGTTAAGCCACAGATTGCTGTGCCCCACCCACAGAGTTTCTGATTCAGTAGGTCTGGGGTGGGACCTGAGAATTTGCGTTTCTAACAAGTCCCCAACAGTTGATAATGCTGCTGTCCTGGGACTGTGCTTTGAGAATCGCTGACTTAGACCAATCATGACCCATTGTCTGGACCAGGCTCATGACCCACTGAACAAAATCTAGATTGTGTTAACTAGGAAGTGTGGACATTGATAGGCAGCTAACAGTGTCTATTTAATACACAAGACACTTAGCCCAGTGCCTGACTCATAAGCTCCTAGGTACCCAAAAAATGGTAGCTGTTGTTATTATGGATAGTGTTACTATTTTAGAAGAACATAAGGTAGTTGGGTCTGACCATGGAGGGCCTTAAATATCAGACAGATGAGTCCTTGGTATACTCTCTGGCAGCTAAGGAGCCCTTTGGAACAGGAGAGTGAAATGATCAAACTATTGCATCATCGGGAAGTCATGACGCATTTTTGCATTGAAAAACATAGAAAAATACATCATGACTTTCCTGATGACCCAATAGCATTTTGGGGAGATTAGCCAGGCATTGGGCTGGGACCTGCAGAGGAAACAGTGCGGGGGAGACAGCCAGCTGAGGGGCTGCAGCAGTGGTTCCAGGTGGATATTACACGGATGCCGAGGTCAGCGCCCGTCTCTTGCCTCATAGTCCAGGAGATTGGCCATCAGCCTATTGGGACCTGAAAGAATGCCTCTCGAGGTTTACTCTGCCCTTAATCATGGCTAATTGGTTGGAATTGGGGACCAGGAGGTCAGAAGACAAGACAGACTGGGGAAAACACTTGTGTTCTCTGGATACCCTGAGAGAAAAGAGTGCACCTGTGTTTCACTGGATGCTGGTGGTGGCACCTGGCTAACGATTTTCAGCCTCCTCATCTGTAAAACAGTGATAATAGCATTTTGTCACCTGCCCTACCCATCGAACATACACATTAGGGAAAGAAAATGAGAAACCACATGTGAAAAGCCTCTGAATAAGTAAAAAGCACCATGCAGATGAAATTGCATTACCATCTTGCACATGCTTCTCAGAGTTTCTTTGTGTTGTTGTTTCTTCAGTCAGAGCCAGCACACTGGGCTAAGTGGACCACAGAGCCATGGCCGTGTGGCCGAGGCTGATACAGCATCACACGGAGAGGCAGGAGGCTTGTCCCTTTCTCCCCTCCTCCTGTCGGTTTTAGTGGTGTAACTTGGGGCAGGCTACATAACTTTCTGAGCCGCCTTAGTTATAAGGTGTGAATAATCATTCCTTACCAGATGTGAATAATTCCTTATCAGATGTGAATAATCATTTCTAGCCTGAAGGCTCCGTCCTGGACCTTTTGAGGCCCCGTTTAGCTGTGAGCTTTATAGTTTCATGACTGTTATTTCTAACGCCTCAGGCCTGTGGCAGTTCACTGGGCAGACAGTGATTTACAGTTTAAAGTGATCTTGTGGGAAACATGCCCTCATATCAGGAGGCGCCATGCTTACCTCAGCCTGTTCTGCATTTGGTTTTATTGTACAATGTTCACCAAACTGAAAAATAAGCCAGCTCCCAAACAGCTATCCTTTCAGTGGCTATCCCATGATCCCTAGAGCTGCCAACTGCTCAGGATTCCATTAGCTTCAATTGCATACAGATTTTTCTTATTGGTCCAATTATTTTACTATGGGGGAGCAGCTCATGTGATCCATTTGCCCTTCTGCTGGTACATAGTGATCTGTTGAAAGAAGCCACATTGAATACAAAAGGTTCATGGCCAAGGATCACCCCTTCCCCTCCCCCACCCACAGTTCGCCAGGGTGTGGTTAGCCCCGGGGCTTCACTGAGGAAAACCTGACGCCGGGAATCTCTGAGTTGCCTTTTTGGCACTTGTTTAGTTATAGAGCCCTCTTTATATGAAATAATGTCTGTGAAAGGCACCAGGCAGTCTGTAAACTGGTACACAGTAGAAGCAGAGAGTGTGGCGTTCTAAAAAGAGCCCGGCTTTACGCTCAAGTTGGTAAGTGGCTGCGTCCCGTCCTGCTGCTCTCGGCCTGGGAGCCTTCGCACAAGTTGCCTCACCTCTCTGGTTCTTGGTTCCTGATCTGGAAATGAGAAGTTGGGACTCGGTGTCCCCTTGCTCTTTCCCTGGCATTTACTCAGTAGCTGTTGACTGATTGAGGTCCCCTCCCCTTTGCTGTATGATTTGTATGGTACAGGAAGGGTACCGGTGGGCTTGACGTGAGGAATGAGACTGAACTTAAGAGCTAGCTTTGTACCCCATCCAGGCCCAACCGCACCGCTGTGCTTCCCTGCTCCCAACTTGGGAGCTGGTAGCAAACTCTCAAGTTCTTGGGCTTTGTGCCTCGCCCAGCATGGTGGGGAGAGTGTGACAGCTGAGACTTGGTTACAGGCTCCAAACAGTTTCCTCCAGACCTTGAGCTGGCGTGGTACCCTTTGCTGACATAAGCTCATGCGTGCACATTATCCACACACCTCACGGGCTTGGATGGGGCAAGTGCGGACTTAACGATTTGGGTTTCTTGTTAGCATCCAATAGACAGGAAGGGGCGTGAGGGCACAGGTACCCAGGGGCATCCTAACTAACAGTCACTCACTGAGGGAGGCAGTCATTCGTTTATTTTGTGTTCCATCTGCTTCTGTGTTTCTTGTATTAATGACAGCTTGAGAGAGCGGGACAATCCAGAGATTGATTTTTCAGCGCATGTTTTATGAGTTGAGTTTTCCTTTGGTGTCCCTCCCCGGGCTGTTCTTCCCTTCCCTTTCATGCTGCTCTCATCATTTTCCTGCAAGACCTCATGTGACTTCCCCAGCCCCCTTTTTCTGCAGACTTATGCCCTAGCTTGAGAACACAGGGACCGCCTAGGTGGCTGCTGATTAAGCACCTTGAGTAACTAGTTGAGCATGCCTTGAACTAGCTTTGTAGTCAAAGAAACCTGGTTATTCCAAACCTTGGTTTACTGTGCTTGTGTTTTGCACCCTTCATAGAGGGACTTGGGTCACTGGGCTTATCTGAGGCCAGGACACTGCCACCTTTTTTCATGAACCAGCCCCATAGCTAAATCGTGCTGAATCTACATAGGTCCTAATTGTTATCATAGCCACCTGAGTGCACCTCACCCTCTTATCTTCTAAGCTTAGACATCAGTTCTTCAACTCTTTTCTCGTTACCCATGCTTTGGAGAGTCTGATGAAGGATGGAGCCTCTCCCCAGAAAATTGCACCTATTCAGACAGAGAAAAATGTGCACAGAACTTCAGGGTCTTCATGAACTGCCCCTTAAGCCTCTCCTTGGACCCCTAAAGGAACCCCAGAATAAGAGCTCTTAGCCTATGAATCTTTAAGCACTCTTTATCTTCCCCCATGCCTGAGGGTAGAGAAAACACAAGAAATAGAGGTATTGGGTAGGAGCCTGTTGTGGTATACTCTCCAGTCCTCAAGTTTCCGGTTTCAGAATAGCCACCTCTTTGGCTTAATAGTAGGGGCTAGAGAGACCTGTATATAAAATACATATGACAGGACCGGCTGAGTGGCTCAGTTGGTTAAGAGCTCGCTCAAGAGTGTGAACTCTTAGCAACAGGGTCGCCGGTTCGATTCCCGGCCCGAACAGAGCTGCCACTCAGCTGCCAACAGGTGGCAGGATGGCTCAGCTAAAAAATAAAATACGTATAACAGTCAGCATGTTTCAATAAACATATATACACTTTAGTAACATGTTTATTTGTAGGGAAAATATACGGCTAGGTTATTATTGTACAAGCTTAAATGGAAAAATTATTGAAAGTAGTACACGTCTTAAAGAATGAGACACTCAGTACTGACTTGTACAGGTGCCCACTCCTACATTGCTCTTTATTTTACCCAGCTTCTAGATAAATTCTCTGATGATAAAATTGTCTCAGATTTAACATTTGTCTTAAAAGGGTTGCATGTGTCAGAAGACTGATTTTAGATTTCTGACTCCAATGTCTTTACTCTTGGCAGCATTTTCCCTTTTTTGTTAACATCTAAACTTCCAGTTATGTTGCTTGGATATTAGTCTTCATGCCACCGTGTTGAATTTCTTCTTTTTATATCCTCTTAAAAGTCTTAATGAGCAATACTATAACATAGAGATTGCTTAGTGGTAAATATACAGGTTTTGGCATCAGGCAGACCTGGCTTTCTCGTCTTGGCTCTGCCACTTCTGAATGCTGCAGTCTTGGGCAACCTATTTATCGCCTCTGGCTTCAGTTTCCTCATCTGTAAAAACTGAGGCCATATCTTCAGGATTAATAGGGTCACAAGTTATATTTGTTTGCTCAGACTGCTATAACAAAGTACCACAGACTGGGTGACTTACACAACAGAAATTTATTCTCTCATAGTTCAAGAGGCTAGAAGTCTGAGATCAAGGTGACAGCAGGGTCAGTTTCCTCTAAGGCCTCTCTCCTTGGCTTGTACATGGCCGCCTTCTCCCTGTGTCTTCACATGGCCTTCCCTCTGTGTGTATCTGTGTCCTAATCTCTTCTTCTTATAAGGACACCAGTCATGGGATCAGGGCGCACTCTAATCACCTCATTTCATATGAATGACCCCTTTTAAGGCCCTATCTACAAAAACAGTTACATTCTGAGGCACTGGGGGTTAGGGCTTCAACATGTGAATTTGGGGTTGGGGAGTGGGGCACACAATTCAGCCATCACACAAATGTGTAGCTCCTGACCCACAGTAGGCTTAGTAAGCCTCATTTTCTGCTGCACCAGCGTTTAAACTGTACAGACTTTTAAGGGAACGTTGTGTGTCCCTGTGCCCTCTCGGACACACTAGACCTATTTAAACAGGCAACCCAGCATTATGATGGGTTTACCCTGTCCTCTGTTATCAGGCTTGAGGCTATTTCTTCTCTCTGCCCCAGATTCAGGATGTTACAAATCTCTAAAATGAGTCATCCTGTGTCTCCGTTTTCCTCCCCTCAACCTCCCAGCACGGTGCCAGGGTTCTTGTATCTCTATGTGGAAATTTCTAAACTCAGTCACTGCCTTCATCTTCAGAATTTCTGGTCCCGGCTGGCATCCCTTCCAGCCATTTTTTCCTGGCTCTCTATCTCTGGCAGCAGCCGCTCTGCCTTGATTCCGAAACTGCCCTTGTCATACCTGAGCAAGCGTTCCCCAGGGCCTCATATGAGCCTCGCATGGCCCCCTCCTCCTCTGCTGCCCTCAGCCCTGGAGCGCAGGAGGCCCAGAGGGTCCGCAGGGGAGTGCTTGTTCTGCGCCAGCCCCTCAGGGGGCAGTGTTCAGTCACCCGGTGGCCTCACAGCAACAGCCTTGTCCCCAGGCACTGTGGCACAGGCGGTTGAGTCTAGGCTCATGCCGGCTCCCAGTCTGAGCATCCCCGGAGAAGCAGCCAGAGGAGCTTGCGTCCCTGGGCAGCTGAGCAGCCTCCTGAATGCTCCTTTTTGCACTTGTTTTTCTCTTTCAGCTGCAGCACTTTGGCTCCGTGAGCAAAGCCTGGATGCCCAAGCAGCCACCACGGCAGCAGAGCACAACCTGCAGAAAAGCTGATCGCCGACAGAGATGGAGCGAACGTGTGTGCGCGCGCGCGTGTGTGCAGAGGAAGGAGTGGTGTGCCTATTTGCGTGTGCATGCATCTGTTTACACTCTTGTGATTCTGAACGCTGCCCAGGCTGGAGAAGTACCTGTAGCAGCTTCACCTCCGCCTTCAGACACCAGGCTAGATGTCATGGCCATGACTTTCAGCCACAACCCCTCCCTGCAAGCCAGCTGCCCACTGAATGGAAGAGCAGTAGGGCCTTAGCTGAGATCCTGGATTCTGCCCCTCCCCCAACTCTCCCTCCCTCCCCCCTCTCATCAGACCAGGGAGCGGGAGGGCAGCATTTCTGGCTCCTGTCCAGAGGATGGGGTTCTAAAGGCAGCCAGAGCCCTACTGAGTTCCTCCTGACCCTGGAGGCTGAGCAGGCTGGAGTGGATGGATGCCTTCCAGACACAGTCACCTGGCCGGGCTTCTTTCTTATTTTTAAATTCCCTGCCATTGGGTCCTCCAGACCCTTCCTTAGGCACCTGGGACAGAACATGAGGCTGCAGACAGATCTGAAAACTTTCTACCATCATACGGAAGTACACCAGCACCTGTATGCATGGTACCATAGATGGTAGCCTAGGAAGTACATCCATCCACCTTTTTGGGCTTAAAACCTAAGGTTGGGAATAAAATCCCAGCTCTTACTGCTCTTCCGCAGAAGCTAAGAGCCAGTCCCAGAGCTGACTGTGGAGACCCAGCGCCTCCACCAACCGGAGGCAAGGTTCCTGGCTTTTCCGGCCATACTCCAGGGTGCCACAGTGCTGCCATTGAGGCCAGCTGGCACCCAGCCAGGGAAACCACTCTAGCCTGTGCTCTGTAGGCTTCCAGAGCCTGCCCAGGACTGGTCAGCATCCAAGCTACCATGTCAGCTCTGCCAGTAGCTGGACACCAAGGACCCAGGCAGGTAGACTCGGGTGAGGACTGCCAGGGACAGTTGGGAAAGGTCCAGGTAAAGATCCCACTCAGCACACCAACCCTTCCAGAGTAGCAGGTGGGAGGTTTGACCCAGAGAAGCCAAGGCCTTTCATTCCAGGAGTGGCCTGTGCCTCCCACCTCAATCCTCCCACTGTCAAAGGCCCTTGTTGAGAAAGACACAATAAAAAGAAGGACTGTGGTCAGCTGCAGCAAGTCTTCCTTCCACCCTGTGGCCTGCACTTGAGCCACAAAGTGTGTGTGTGTGTGTGTGTGTCTGTGTGTCTGTATCAGTGTGTGTCAGCTACATGCGCGCGTAGCTGAGAGGCTAGTTCCTCTTTGGATTTTTGTCCTCACATGTAACGTTAAGCTGGCCTCTGGGCCTTCTCCTCTCTACCTCCCTGTGACCTTTCCTAGCCTTATAGTCGTTAACTCCCTTGGCCCAGCCCTGTCCCTCACTGTCCTCTGTCCTCGGACCAGAACCCTGGGGTCAGGCCTCTGTCTCCGTCAGCTGTCCAGACACTGACAGGCTTCTTCCTGAGATGTCCTCAGGTGTTCTCAGCCAGAGAGCTGCCTTTAGAGTTCAACTCTTGTATGTTTGTCATCCTCACTAGAAATGTCCTGTAATTATGTGGGGGGAGCAGGGCACAGGTGATGGTGTGTATTTGAAGCATTGGGTTAGGGACTTCCCTGTTCCCTTAGCCCCAGCTAGGAGAAAGAGTACTGGGGACCATAGCCAGAAGGAGTAGAGCAAGCCTGGGAGGGCTGGTCTGAAAAACTGAGAAGGCCAGAGGGCTTCAGCCAGAGTCAGTATTTATTAGCAGCGCCTTCAGTTACCAGGATGAGTCCCTTTCCCTGCCTATTCAGTGACGATTCTCTTCCCTAAGGTAAAAGTCGGCCAGACCACCTACCCCTGCTTCACCATCCTTGGCATGCTGGCCCATTCCCAGTGGAATGGAGTGGTCCGCTCCTGGAGTTAGGAGGGGTGGGGCGAGGAGAGTGTGCATCCAGTCTCCATGATGGCCTCGTGCCGCCCCTCTCCTGGCCCAGGTGTCCCTGGGGCTGCCATAGAGCATTGCCCCAAATCCTGATCCAAGAGCCAGCATGGGGAAGAGATGGTCACAGGCAAAATGCACTTTATACAGAGATTTTCTATTGCTGGGAAGGTGTGTTTCTCCCACAGTTTGTGAATATTCACTTGTTTCATAAATGTCTGATCCTGTATGAACAAAGCTGTGCTGTCGTCAATCTTGTGGGAGGTCTGGGGAGTGGGCGTCGGTAAGGGTGAGCCTGAATGAAGCCTTAGGCCAGATCATCTTGGTTCTGCTGGAACCAGGAACCTCTTACCCCTCCTTGGAGGTCATGGGGGCGAGGGGGGTGGGGAGAGAGGGAGGAAGGGGGAGGCTCCTAGTTGAGCAACTGGAGCTCCTGATCTTTGTCAGAGTTGGAGGTCAATCAGCCAGAATGGTATAGAGCACTCCAGGCCCAGGATGAGGGTCCTGAGTGCTATTTGGCAGAGACCCAGCCTTTGGCCCACTTAAACCCCCCAGGCTAGGGATCAGTCAGTGGCAGGACCTTCTCCAGGCCTTCAATCCATCCTTTACCTCAATTCAGCCACTTACGCTGCAGCTGTGGTGCGGAAGGGGTGCAAGCCTTCTGGCTCTGGCTAGGTGGTCGAGATCTGACTTTGTCTTATGCCATCTGTCCAGAGAGTGACCCTTCTCTGTGCACAGTGCATGGGCTTTCCTGTGAAGGTTTCTAGCCTCAAACCACTGGAAGTTAGAGCACTGTTAACCCATACCCCCAACTTCCTGTGGCCCAAGAATATCACACGCTGCCCTGCATAAAGTGAGAATGAGGAAAAGGGAGGACCTTGACCCTGGAACTCATCTCATTCTTGGCTCTGCTTTGAAGCCCCTGATGGCCCCCTTCCTACCGAGACCTGGTCCTGCCCTTCCCTCTCTCCTTTCTCCTGGCTTCTCTCTAACATGGCTTTGGCTTGGCCTTGGGAGAGCTGAGATACCTTTGTTCTTGAGCAAAAGGTTCTGGAGGATGGAGTCATCCCCCCCCCTCGCCCCCTCCACACACACACTCCTGACCTGAGGATGCTCCCTAGTTGAGACAAGCACACACTCCACACTGTAAGGAACAATTATTAGCCACTATGGCAAGACTGCTTTCCTGGGAGGAAAATCCAGGCACCATAACAGCAGGTGGTTACTGTTCCGGCCTAGTGAAAGGGGCCTGAGCCAAGATAGCAGGAAAGGTACAGCGGCCACCCATCTGGGCAGGAGAAAGAAGAAAGGCAGCCAAGGCCTTTGGCTGTAGGTATTGGGATGTCCTCAGGGCTGGAGCTGGGGGGTCTTCACTGCAGGGCTGGTGCCTGCAGCTCCTTCCATATGCTACACTGAAGGACAAGGGGGTGGCTAAACCAGTTGGCTGTCCAGCTTTGCAAATAAGGTTCCATAAGCTGTGAAACAGTTCATTCTGCTGCTTCTTCAGAGAGAGGTGAAGGACAGGACCTGTGTGATTCTCTCAGGTGGCCAGAAAAGCCAGTAATGTTTGGTCAGAGGCTCTATGACCCACCACAGCTGGGGCCCTAACCTTGGCCAGCAGCGTGCATGTACAGCAGTCCATGCTCTAAAAGAACTCACAGGCTTAGCCCTCTTAGGGGAGAGAAGGCCAGGAAGAAACCACTGCCTGAACTTAACAGTGGTGCTAGAGGAATCAGAAAAAGCACCCCAAAAAATCCCAAGAAGCAAACTGGGGGGGGGAGGGGCAGAAGGAAAGGCCCTGAGTCTCAGAATATGAGAGGCCGACTATGGAGTGTCCGGGTGCAAAAGAAGGGTGCTCTTCAGGAAATGCAATTGAGGGATAAGGGAGAAGAGGGACAAATCTGGGAAAGTCTTGACATGAAAAAGGAGAAGCTCAGAAACAGAAGCCGAGAGGAAGGAGTTCAGTTAACCATTAATAGCTGTTTGGGGCTGAAGCAGGGCTTGTGTCAATCTTTAGAGAGGAGACCCTCTAGGGATAGTCCTTGGGAGGGTCCCCTCAAGATAAGGGGCCAGGATGGGGTGAGACCTGGATCCCAGCAGGAGATGGGGTGTTCTCAGCCTCCAGTGACAATACATTTGTATTACGTTTCATCCTCACAACAGCCATGAGAGGGACCATTACTGTCTCTACTTCACAGGTGAGAAAACCAAACCTTAGGACTGTTACATCACAAACGCAAGGCCACACCACCTAGTCACTTGGAGAGCCAGGCTGTGACTTCACACCATCTGGCTCCAAACCTGCCTGCTCTAGGAGCCCACTCCCAACCCCCCCTCACCTTTCTCTGCCTGCCTCCACAACCTTCCCCTTCCTGGCCGCCTTCTTAGCCTGCTGCGGGGGGCCCAACTAGGCCCCCGGGGAGAAGGGTCCCGCTATTAGTTACCTGATACCCAGGTGCTAGGCCCACCCCAACCGGCAGAGCTCACACGGGCACGGAGTGGGGGTGGGGGGAGGGCTTTGCGGGAGGGGCAAGGGGGAGAGAGGAATCAGTGTAAGATTTAGGGTAGGGCTGGGCCAGACCCAGGGGCCGCAGGGGCCGCGACTTCAGTACCTCGGAGAGCGCCGACGGGGCGGGGCTCGCGGGTCCGGGGGCGGGGCGAGGGCGGGGCGCACGAGACCCCAGCCAGGGCCCGGGGGCGCGCGCGGTGGTGCTCGCGCCCGTCCCGAGAGCGGTGTGCGGTCCAGAGCCGCGCACTGCCCTGCGCAGGTGCGCCCGCAGCGTCCGCCCAGCAGGAGCCCCGCGGCGGCGGCGGCGGAGGCCTCTTGCTGCGCCCCCGCCTCCTTCCCCTCCGCCGCCTCCGCCGCCTTCGCCGCTGCCTCCGCACCGCGCTCCGCCCGGATGGACAGGGCTGTGCGGGAGAATGGCGGAGCGAGAGAGCGGCGGCCTGGGCGGGGGGGCCGCGTCCCCGCCTGCCGCCTCCCCGTTCCTGGGGCTGCACATAGCGTCGCCGCCCAATTTCAGGTGAGAATCCCCGGCCGCCGTGCCCCGCCCTTTAGCCCGGACTGATCGGTTCACGCTTCCCCCGACCCCCAGCCTCCAACACACACACACACGCACACGCACACCCCACCCCACCACACACCCCCAGAACCCGGGAACGACAGGGCAGCCTGGAGATGGAGTCCTTTCCCTGGACACAGCCCCCAGAATCCCCCTCAGCCTCGAGTCCAGACTGATAGCCTCTGCATATCCGTGGTGCAGTTCCCTCCGCCATTCCATGTCCTAGGCTAGGAGATTGTGAGCTGCAATTGGAGGAAGGGGCTCAGAGGCACCTTCTCCCCCACTCTGAGGACTGCAGTCGGTTGAGATCCCAAAGCAGGCAGATAGGCTGGGCTTTGCCTATGCCCAGTCCGAAGGCTGCTGAATAGAGATTGGAGCAGTCTGGGGTGTCCCACGGGTCCCAGTTTCTTGGGGCAGCCGACAACCTTGGTGCAGGAAGTAGGGAGTCATGGAGTCATGGGCCCTGCCTGGCCAGAGAGGCCTAACTCCAGGCCTGGCATGGCCAGGATCCTCTGTGGCTTTGTACAAGCCATGACCTTGTCAGGTGTGTGCAGGTGCAGAAGGCTCAGACTCAGCCCCGAGATCCTAGACCTGGCTGTGGGATAGGGAGTCTGGTTTGGACACCCAGAAGTAGCCAAGAACATTGGAGGGGTCCCTGCAGGGGTAGGTAGTACCCAGGACTCTGATCTGAGCTCCCCTTTACCCCTCTCCCTGCCCCCTATCTGGTGTTAGGCAATTGGGAGGTGAATTGCAGAGAAGTGGACAGTAGGTGTTGTGGGGGAAGGGTTGATGTCCCTTCCTCATAATCCTGGCCCCAGCTGGAGGGAAGAAAAAGGAGGTGTAACTGCTGCAGAGCCTTAGGAGAAGTAGGCCTGCATACCCCCATTGTTGCTCCATCTAATGAGCTGGCGCCTTCCCCTCTCCTGGGGCCCCCACCTCAGCCAGGCCCCAGCTGGTCTCTGGCGCCAGCCCCTCTTCTGACCAAGGGGTTGCTGGCTCTCTGGTCCTCAGGTGGGCAGGGACCCTTGTGGATCTCTAATGGCATCATCAGGACTAGAAAGCTCCCCTGAGGCCCTGAACTGAGCCCGGAAGACCAGAAGGAGGGGACCAGATGGAGGAGGCCACGCCTGAAGGCTTGAAGGCTGGGGCCTTTGTGGTTAGTGCCTCAGAGTAACCAGGCTGAGGTCTGAGACTGACTCCACCTCACATGACACACTGCCTCTGTGCAAACACTGCCTTCCTACCAGGAGGACCCTCCGCAGTGGAAGGGCACTGAGCTTAGAAGGACCTGGGTTCAAATCCTAGCTCCACCACTGTCCAGCTGCATGAGCTGGGCAGGGTTTTGTCCTCTCTGAGTGCCATATGTTAGGTGAGCTAATTAATATTGATTCCTTAATGTATGTCAAGTCAGTGCTTACCAAGTGTCAGCCCGCCCTCTATGTTAGCATGCATTTATATAGCTCCTTCCTATTCAAAGCATTTTCCCAGTGCTGGCTCACTTAGCCCTCATAACCACCCTGGGTGTGGGGAGCAGTCTGCCCATTTTGTAGATGAAGAGACTGAGATTCAGGAAGGCAGGGTGGCTTGCCCAAGGACCCAGAGGCAGTTAGAGCCTGAGGCTGGACTGGAACCCAGATCTATGTGTTCAGTCCACTCTACCTCCAGGCCCTGGCCCTGGCCCAGAGGACAACTTTACCTCCCCTCACCTATTTCCCGATCCCCAGGTGACAGTGCTCTCAGGCAGGCAGGCAGGCAGGCAGGCAGGTTATCATGGGCACTTTAGTGAGAGGAGCTGACAAGGTGGATGCCAGCCAGCGAGTGTGTCCAGTCCTGGCTCAGGTGGTCAAGGGTGGCAGCACACCAAGACTGAGGCATGGGCCAGCCGTCTAGGACACCGTGGCCTGGCTGTGGAGACAAGGCCCACTCGTGGGAATAATACAAGCAGTGTCTCCAGCCCCACGTGGCCTGCTCCCCCGCCCCCCGCCCCCAGCAGCCTCCGCTGCCCTTTCCCTTGTCCAGCCTCTCAGAGCCCTTAGCCCAGTTTAGTTTAACCCTGGGTGGTTACTGCTGTCTTGTGGCTCTTTGATGGGGTCGTGGATTCAACTGGCCTGGGTTTGATTCCTGACTTAACCTGCTTAGCTGTGTGCCCCAAGACAGAGCACTTAACCCCCTGAGCCTGTTTCTTTTCCATGATGCCAGCTTTGGCCCCTGTGCAGAGCAGTCCTAAGACTTGGATGAGACAACACATGTTGAGTGTTTCAAGGGCTGTGGAGCGCTGCATTCATGCAGGAATGTATTATTATTATTATTATTATTATGTACTTATTTATTTATTTATTATGTGTGTGCACATGCCCCCCACACTACTCAGTTTCCAGAAGGCATCAGGAGTTAATATCTAAACTTTGGTTTGCCCAATGCCTAGCACAGAGTAGGTGCTCAGTAATGCCTTATTGGTTTATTATTTAATTAAGGATAACATTGGGTACCGCCCTCCCAGAGTACAGAGAATACTGGTGCCTTGTCAGG